AGTGAAACTGAACAAAAACTGCCGCACGGTGGCGAATAAGATTTCGTCACAGTTATTTAAAAAGTGTTACACTGCCGTCTTCTGGTTTAATATCGTAAGTGTCTCCTTTTCCCCTGTTGGTAGCGCAGCAGGGTACTGTACTTTGTTTAATCCCATGTCAACTCTTTGGAGTATTATAAAGACGTGTAAGTTTTGCAGTATTCGGAGTATTCATGGTGATAATTTGAGTGAAGCAGATTTATTTCCATCTGTATAAATGAAGATAAAAAAGTATTATTAAATTATTAGTGAGACATACCAACGCTGAAATTGCCAATTGAAGTACAATGCTGTATTTTTTTTGTATTCTCTTTTCACTTCAGGCCAGATCCTGTGAAGACTTTAATCTTATAGAAATACATTTTATTTCTCTCTTCTTTATTTCTAATTATTACTAATTATTATTACTAACTATACTAATTATTGTTTGAGTCAGTTAATGTGGACGTGCTTTTATTTTAATTTTTAAGCCACATTCACAGAAGCTCTGGACATTTCTTACGGGCCCCTAATTTATTATATTTATTGATGGTTTTTTTGTTGTCAACAAATGTCCAGCACGAATTATATCCATACACACGGTATACAGTATGAGGTTTTATGTTTGTAATAAATATAGTCACTAATAAATTACCTCTTCCAATTTGTGAAAGTTTACACATGAATGTTATCAAATAACCAACCGATGGTGGAGCCTTTTTAACTGGATATATCAGGTTTCTGCCGTTAGCTGGTCCCAGTTAACCAAACACACTAAACATTTGACATATTTAACTTAACTAACCCATATTATTCAAATGAATTATTAACGGTACATTAGGGCGGGCATACACTGTACGATTTTAGCCCGTTTTTGCACTGTCCACAATAAACGTATTAAACAATAAATAAACAATAAACGTATTGTCCACGTTTATTGAGCCATCTCCGACTCCAGATGCGCCGGCGCCTCTTCTTTTTTGAATTTTCAGCGCACAGTATCGCAGCAATCATAACGGCAGCCTTTTTTATTTTTGAATAACCGGCGTCGGAGCTTTGACATAAATCTTTATTGACAGCTGTCAATAGACAGGACAGGCCGTACAGCGTGAGTACATAAATCGTGAGCTTTGTCCGTACATATATTAAAAATCGTACAGTGTATGCCCGCCCTTAGCGTGAGGTGGAGCGGGTCTTGGTGGTGCCAGGCTGAGGACAGGCGTGGCAGTGGGCAGGTCCAGGCTCACAGAGCAGCATCAGGGTCCGATGTGCTAGAATCAGCTGAGCATGAGGCTCCTGGAGGCAGTGTGTGTTTGACACAGACGAAAGACCGACGCCCCCCGGGTGGGGCGTGGCGGCAGCGGCAGCCTCCAGAGAGCCACCGCAGCTGCTGTGATTGAACACATCCGCCCTGGGCTGTAGGTGCAGCAGCAGAGCCGCGCCCGCGCACACTACACGGTACTGAGGATGCTCTGAGGTGAGTGCAGTGACTGCCTCTGGTCGTGTTTATGATGGGGTGTGTTTGTGGGCAGAGGACGGGGAGTAGTGCTGCATCATCCCTGTGGATCAGTGTGTCTGTTGTCTACTGCGAACACTCTGAATGCGAATGTTAAATATATGTGTGAATATGAATTTCAGAAGAACAGGGATGACGCTTGGTTCGGCTTTAGCTCCACAGCTGTAGTGTGGACAGATAAATTGTGTGTGTCTGCAGATGAAGGCCCAGAGGCTTTTGTGTGTGTGTGTGTTTCGTTTATGTTCCAGTCAAAGCCATATTTCTTACTGCTCTTTCACGGCACTACGTTAGCTGTTCTGGCACCGTGTGAAGTCCCGCAATCGTTTGGAAAATACTTCGCCACATTTGCGTCTCCTGCGAGAGCAGATCCATGCGCTTATCGTTACTGCGTCGTCGCGGCTGTGCTTTTTGCAGGTGGCCATTTGCGGATCCCTGGCTGGTGCTGATGCTGCAGTGTGTGTGTGCGCGCGTGTGTGTGTATTTCTCTGTGTGTTGCTAGGCAGCCATGGTCCGAGCGGGTGGAGGATGCTGGGAGAAAACAAAAACATATCACATAAACACTGGGCAATTTTTTTATTTTTTGCTTTCTGATACTAAGCCGTGGAGTCATATTGATAGGTGTAATTTGTTACATACGTTCCTATCAATAAATCTCTGTCCTCTGGGTGACTCAGCAGAGGGAGGTTTGAGATGTTTTTGTTACGATGCAACGGAGGACAATGGCTGCCACTGAATTTTGAATGGGGCTCAGTCGTAGTAATAAAAAGGTAGAAATGAAACGTTTCTGTGCCATGTGGTACATTTAATCGACCATGTCCTGTTATCAGGAAATGTATCATTTAAGAAGCCATGATCACTTAACGTTAAACGCAATTTTCAGTGCAGTGAAGTCCAGTTAACTGTGCTGGTCTAACGTGTTGTTTTTATATAAATGTAATCTTAAATTTCCATCAATATGTTAAACAGGAAAATTATTTATATTCACATTTCAATTACAGGTTTGTCTTGCGACAGTGAACCTGAGTCAGCCGTTGATCTAACTGAATGCCTCAGAGGTCTCTACAGAAACACCTTACACTGTTAGTGACAGATTGAAGTTGGCTGAGTGGACTTTTGCATTACGGTCTGGTTTAATCTTTTAGGTATATGGCAGTAAATAGTGGTGTCATCTATCTACAAATTAACTGTAAAACTATAAAACAGTATTTATTATTTTCATATTAAATGAGCAAAATAAGTTGCAGATGGATGGACGGATGAGCTACTTGTTTGTGAGTGTGCTTATTACTTTAAAAACTAGTTCTTAAGTAGGTCAGGATGCACTGACCAGCTTATATGACTGAAAGCCAAAGAAAATCAATTTAAGGTTACCTAGGTAACCACGGCTGCTGGATGTCAGTGCTCAGACACTGACACAGACGTCCTAAAACCACAACAACAAACCCCAGAGTTATGTGCACTGTGGCTGTTTTTTAGATCCAATTTTGAAATGCTTAATGCTTTTTCTCCATTGATCTGCTCGTGTCCTTTAATGAGAGTTGTATTATTCAGTTTATTGAGACCGGGGCCATTCACATAAACATCTGCCAGATTGAATTTTGTAATCCAAGAATAAAATGCCTTGCAGAAAAAAAAAAACAAATCAAAATACTGATAATTTAGGCATTCTCAGATTTTTGAAAGTTTAAAAAATCCTGGTAGCTTCTAAATAATACAATGTTTACAAAGATATACTATTGTAGTCCATAAATCTAGTATTAAATCTCCTGATGATTAGGTATAGACTGCAACTGCATTGACTGTTTCTTAAATGCTTGTCATTGTCTGCATTGTCTACTAAGGTCCAGTACACTTTCATCAGTTTTTCTGCTGTGAAAACCAATTTAGGAAGTTTGAGAAATTGCAACTGTAGCTTTTATAGAAATGTATTTTTTCTGAATCTGAAAAAAGTATCTAATATTGAATGCTAAATTATCTGTCCATAACAGTTTTATTCTCAGTGAGTGTCACTCTGATTTGTCTCCCGGTGTACATAGGCCAAATCTTTGGCCGTCTTTTGTTTCACAGCCTATGGTGTCTGAGGTGGACTCAAAGACACTTTCCAGAAACTCCTTCCAAACCTGACATTTTAGATATTGGGTACCAATCATTTGACTGTCAGCTGTTCTTAAGCTTCTCTGCCTGTCAGGATTTTCATCTGGGAGGAAAATGAATTTCAGGAATAAAGAGGACAGTAACCGTCAGAATAGCTGCTCACAATAAGGGGAGGAAGCAGCAAAGGTGGGCCAGCAGCCAGTCTCCAATGTCTCCCCGAGTCATTAAGTCCCTCCCTGGAGGCAGAGAGAGGCTTTCTGTCTGCTGCCCGTCAGCAGCTGAGCCCCATTAAACCCCCGGGAGAGAGAAAGGGAGAGAAGCAATATACACTGATTATTCTATTTAAAAAAAAGAGAGAAAGACAGATGAAAAATGTATTAGTACTAAAATCGTAATAATATATATGTGTTTGTAAGGAAATAGTATAATATATAAATAGCGTCATATTCTTGGAAGTCAAGAGCAACAAAAGAGAAAAGAGAAGTCTGGATTTTTTCTGCTCCTATTTATTCATATGTGGTAAAAACAGCCTTAAATTAAAAGAAATGAATAATACTGCTTTACCTGATACTGTTTGTCAGCAGTGGAGGGGTTCATCCTTTAATATTCCAAAATTATGGTTCACCTGGGTAAATAGTCCTGTAAAATGATTAGTCACTAATGTATGTTTTTTTCCTTGCAAAATGCACTTTTCACCAGAATTATTTGTTTTGTTGTGTTTATGTCTTTCCTTTTACTGTACTTCAGACAGTCCCAGTGAACTATTAATTACAGTAGTCTGGTTTAAAAAAGAAAAATCAGAACAAGTGACTTTTAAGTGAAATCTCACTTTAAATCAAATGTAGTTACCCAAATTGAATGTGTTTTATAACTACCTGCTATCTCATCATTGTCTCCAAATGTTCGTTTTTTTAAACTGCTCTTCTGTTTCTACACATTTGCATTATTAGATTATTTAGGGAAATCCACTGTGAATAACTCACTGATACAATAAAATCAAAATCTGGAATGAAGAGTTTCTTGCAGCAGAGTTGTGCAAACACAGTGGGACCACATTTTAAAGATCAATATACCTTGTTTGGCCACCCAAAAATCTAATAGAACAGAAAAACTAAGATCTCGTAGAGAAAAAAAAATCATAATTACAGAAAAGAAGTCACGGTTCATCAAACCCTTTATCGGACCTTAAACTAGCCCTCGAGCCAGGCTTTGACCCAGTTTACAGTGACACTGATGGTACAAACCTTGTGAAATTTATGTCATATGTGGCACGTTAAGAGGAGGAGGGGAAGTGGAGGAGGGGGAGGAGAAAATGGAGGGTGTGGTGCGTTTAGGACCTTATCTGCTCCCTGCAGCAGACTCTGAGCTTGGTTCCCTTCATGTGGGGCGTAGCCATCTGAGCATCCTGACGGTAACTCTTCACTGGTTCTTCAATCACTGAGTGGTATCACCAGCTGAACTTCCTGTCAGTGGTGCTGACGCTTCTCTCCCGCCTGTTAGCAGCAGCTTTTATTGCTAATGTTTCATTGCATTTGTTGTTGCTCTGCATTACCACTGGACGGTGCCCTGAGGAATCAGCATCCTTAATGTCAGGGTAGGTTTTATCATTTCTAATGTTGACGCTGCCCTTTGAAAATCCATAACAATAACGAGAGGCTTAATGTTCATGCATAGAAAAGTTCTACTCCTCATTCTTAAACGTGTCAGTTAAAGATCTCCGTTTACATCTTCATGTTTGATACAAAAGCCTGGGGGGTTGAATTGCACACAGTTTATTGATTAAAGCCATAAATGTCTTTTAATATTTGATCACTTTTTTCCGCTCTGTAAGAGAAATACTTCTGGCCTGTGCAGGCTGAGGAGGCTGTGGAGGATTCTGACTCTGTTTCTCCTGTTTGACCATTCACTTACATTGTTGTTATATTTAAGCTCTGAACATCTAGATTTGATCCATTGTGGTTAAGGTGCCATCCAGTCACTTAAGCACTGGTCTAATGTTAACAACGATCTATAAAATGAAAATTATATTTAAAAGTTTAAATCAGTGATCATCAACTGGCAGCCCACGGATTGAATCAGGCGTCCAATCCAGTCTCTGACTATATAACCATCAAATAATAATATTTCACAAAAATTTGATTTTTATTTCTTTTGTCTGGTCCTCAAGGTGTTTTCAGGCCTGTCAACAAGTCAGGCCTTTTATCAGTCCAGGATATACCACTTATGTTATCCACTGTGTGGTGTTGTGGCTCTGATCAGGACCAGATATAGGCATTTTGTCATCTTTAAAAAAGGGCTTATGGACTCGTGCAGCTTCTTGCTAGTCAAAATTGTTTCGTAGACTGGCATTAGGCGTTGCTGCTGAGATGGGTGAAATATCACAGCTGCAAATGTTTGACGGGCATATTGGTGCATCACTGATCATCTTTGCACTTATTTAAGTTACCCCAAAAGAAATACATGTGCTTGTTGTGTTGCATATTGGCATCCATCCGGATCTTCTCACATGGATTCTGATTAGATTGACTTAAGACAGATTTCCTCATGAATTCCTTTGTTTTTGCATGTATATAAAATGAAATAGAGGCTGCGTGTTGGGGGAGCTGATAGATGGATATTGTTACCTACACAGCATCCAGACAAGCTGCTGAGCTAAGCTAACCATTTCCTGACTGTAGCTTCATATTTAATGGATAGATATTAGAGTGCTATTGATTTTCTCCTTTAAACCTCTGAAAGATGGAGAAAAATGTCAGTGTTTGAAATGACAGACACAGTAGATGATATTAAGGTGTTTTTTGTGTTGTGTTTTTTGGTCAGTGCTTTTGATTAGTTTGTTTTTAACCTATGATAATATAAGACATGTCCACACAAAAAAATGTAATTTATGTTGACCTACATTTTAAAGATTACCAGCCCTTGTGCTGCGACCTGTGATATATTTCGGATAGTAAAAAATAATTATCGTCCATGATTCTTTCACAACTGCAGATGAACTTTCTGGTTGTCTTGGCATGCTGGCTGTTTTCTGCACTTTTTACTCATGGATACAAATCAATCATCTGATACAAATCATCTGAATTTAAACGGAATAAGACTGTATGTAAGAAAGCATTTAAAGTAATCCTATTGAAACACTACCCATATCCCTGGTAATGCATAATCTTTAAGATGTAAAATGAACATTATTATATTATTTTACATATTGTATCATTTGTTATTTTATTTTGCTGGATGACTCAATTTGATATGGTCAATAAAATAATTTTACTTTTAAAAAGGTTTGACTGTGACTGTAATTCTCCAAAAGGGAAATCAAGTATTTTATGTCACTCACTCACAGTTTTGTAAATTAGATTTTATTTCAGAGTATGTGTGGGCACCATGAGTGCATTTAAAAAAAAAAAAATTTTATGTCAAAGTAAAAAAAGGTTTGGTCCACAGGGTGGGCTCCTGAGTCTTCAAGAAGCCCAATCTAAGTTAAATCACCAGGCCTAGACTCTACTAATACAACACTGCCAAGTAGTAGTACATAGTCTTGACCAGAACCTGAACAGAACGACCCAACTGAAATCTGCCTGCCTTATTATGGAACTTGGAACTGGCTCACCTCATACAGCATCTGACTAATTAATTTTTTTTTTAATTTTACAGTTTTCTTGACCAACATCTGGTTGTCACACAAACAAAAGATGAGTAAGTCCCCCACACCTAAAGGCACCCCGGTGCAGCGGAGCCCCAGTGATGGGGTCCCAGAGGGTCTTCAGTCCCCTCAGCACTCAACACCAGACTCTGGACCACAGCATAAGAAACGTATTTCCAGCCTTCTCCACAGTCCGGTTCGTTTGACATTCATTTTTTTCATGTGAAAATATTTGTGTTTTTGACATTTTCCCCTCTGTACCAAGGCTGTCAACTTGTCATGTCATATAACATTTAAAATTTCACATGAAAATAAATAATAATATATTTTATAAGATGTCTTTCACACAAGATAACTAAACAATGGTCAAAACATTAGAAGTCAAGTGAAAGCTAGGTGGCTAGGTGTACCAGGAGTAAATGGCTACTGTATTTGGCAGACTATAAGTTGCTTCAGAGTATAATTTATATAGTATAAAATATATAATTTGTGAAATTATATATTTTAATATATATGTCGCTCCTGAGTATAAGTCGCAAAAACCCAGTCAAAGGATTAAAAAAAAGTGCTTACTTATGACTTATGACTGACTTATGGTCACAAAATTAAAATATGGTACAATTGACACAAAAGGTTGAAATTTAGATAAGAGAAATCTTGAATAAAAGAAGCACTGTATGTTTTCCTTTTTAAAAGAAAATTTCTTTATTTAAAAATATTGGATGGGAAGTCACTCTAGTGTGACCCCATCTGTCATTTCCAACCAATAAAACTGTATTTCTCCAGTTAATTGCTTTTAATGTAAAGCAGCAGCAGCAGAAACTCATCTCGTAATCGATATCCGTTATTCCATATACGTCCAAAGACAGCATGGACGTCCATGATTTATACAGCTGCTTGCATTGATTTTTCTCTGACGATGTTTGAAGCTGGATACAGCCTACCTTGACTGGATCTGGCCCATAGGTTGTACCCACTGACTCCTCGCTCTAGATTTGATTATCTTCTCACAGAAGTATAAATCATCTGGAGAAATTGGGCTACAGTCGCGTGCTGCATATTCTGCATGTGGGTGTGGTGCAGTGAAGGAAGGGAAAACTGAGTAGATAGAAATATGATAACTCATCACAGTAGTGCAGGAGTATAAATGAACTGGTGTTGGTGGATCTACTTACCAACAGTACCCTCTTATTAAGTATTAAGAGTTTATATTTGTTTATAGATATATAAAATATAAATATAACTAGGAAATACTGTATGTGTATATTCATTACCGGGGATGGCTTGATACAACTTTTTCATACTATTGATAGCGATACTATCCTTAATTTCCATATCTATCTATCTATCTATCTATCTATCTATCTATCTATCTATCTATCTATCTATCTATCTATCTATCTATCTATCTATCTATCTACGTATCTACAGTATCTACCTACCTACCTACCTACCTACCTACCCACTTTGCTTTTTGCTTTATGTAGTGTGTGTTGTCTATGTACCACACGCTCATGTGATTTAATGCATTCACTTTGTGGTAACCGGTGGGACCAGTCCTTCAAAGAGGAGCTGGATGTGCTTATCCAGGAGCAGATGAAAAAGGGCGGCAGCTCCTCTAACCTATGGGCACTAAAGCAGCTCGCTGACTTTATGGCCTCACATGGTTCTCCAGCTGCTCTGCCGGTCTCTCCATCCAGTACGTAAAAATGCCAAACTCCATTCATTTATCATTGTCTGTCAATAAATGTTGCTTGATCATCTTCTGTGCTGTTTCTCCCTCCTCTCTCTCTCAGACATGATGATGGTGATGCCGATCAATGACCTGCACAGCTGGGAGCCAGGCAGTTTGGTAAAGGGTGAGAGGTTGATGCGCTGCAAACTGGCCAGCACTCATCGTCTGTTTGACCTTTACGGCTGGGCTGGGATTAGCCACACCTGCCTAACTGTGAGAGCCTTTCTTTACTCAAGAGTTTTATATTTTTTCATCACCATAGTGAAGTAATCAGAAATCATTGACCAGTGCTGGGTGGTCCGACCAATGATCATAGTCGTCAAGATGGCACTGCAAAAAACATATCCACATATGTGCCAGCCTTGGCTTAACTGTGCTTTTTACGTATTGTTTGAGCCAAGCAAAAAGGTCAACCTTGGTTTTGTTTTAAGCCATTTCACATGTATTTTACTTAAATCATAGATACTGAGGAGACTAGCATTTGCTCTGTGTGCATTTATAGAAATCACCTCATCAAGCTTCATAACAGTTAAATAAATTCCAAGTACTGTACAGAAAACTAGAAACATAGAGGCTTCTATCTTATATTTATTAAGATTAGGTCAGGAATCTGTGCTGTTTTGCAGACCCAGCACAGTCATGTATTTATATTGAATTTCTACTGGGTTTTCTTTCCTCTCCCATGAGCAGCTTCGTGTCAGTAAAGAACAGGAACATTTCCTGGTTCTTCCAGATGGTCTGGCCTATAGTGAAGTGACTGGATCCAGTCTGGTAAGAAGAACTCATCTCATCTCTATGCAAGTGCTATTGAGCACATTTTTGCAGTGCATGTATATATCATAAAGTAACATTCAAAAATACAAATATTATATATGTTATATGTTTGTGTGTGTGTGTATATACTATATATATATATATATATGTATACACAGTATATACATTATATTTATATGTGTATATATATGTGTGTGTGTGTGTGTATGGCTCCGTAGTGTAGCAGTTATAGTGGTTCCATAGAGTTGTCATTATCAGACATGGTTTACACATCAGGCTTACACACAGAGGAACCACATACTTAATGGCGCCTCCTGTCGCAGCATTGGTCAGTATTGTGGGACAAATAAGGGACTAATACAAATATGTATATATAATATTAAACAGAAAATATTTCAGGTCAAACTTTGTGTCAAATTACTGAATTTAATGTAGCAGTTACAAAACTCACATTTTCCCTTTTGATGAATTAGTCTTGTTACAGTTACATCCATTCTTAACACTTAAGACGCCCATAATTATGTGATGGTGTTTTTTTCCCAGGTGAAGGTGAACATCCTGGGGGAAGTGGTGGAGAAGGGCAGCACCAACCTGGGCTTGGACCCAGAAAAGTTTGGCCTGCACTCAGCCATCTACTCCGCCAGGCCGGACGTTCGGTGTCTTCTTCACCTTCACACTCCAGCCACAGCAGCAGTAAGTTAGCCCACAGGCTGGATCTACACACAGGCATCTTTAACTGCTTTCATTTCTGATTCTAGCAGATGATGAAATTGTTTTTGTTTTGTCACAACCTGCTTGTTAATTCACACAAAATAATCTTCAGGTTTCAGCTATGAAGTGTGGCCTTCTGCCACTTTCCCATGAGGCTTTGCTTGTTGGTGACGTGGCCTATTATGACTACAATGGAGTGATGGAGGAGGAGGAGGACAGAGTGGAGCTGCAGAAGAGTCTGGGACCTACGTGTAAGGTGAGCCGTTCCATAACTATTACCATGAGACCTGGACAGAAGGTCCTGGTACTGGAGGGTTTTAATTGTTCAGCAGAAAGAGATTATGCAAAGTAGAAGTGAATTAATTATCAGACTAAGTAAGGATGCTCTCAGGTCATTCTGGTAATGATGTTGCATGTGTGTGTGTCTCAGGTTCTGGTGCTGAGGAATCATGGTATTGTGGCTCTGGGGGATTCTGTGGAGGAGGCTTTCTACACCATCTACCACATCCAGGCTGCCTGCCAGATACAGGTCTCTCTGTCATGCACACACACACACACACACACACACATACACACACACACTGGAGAAATTATACTTTTGCTAAAACATTATTTTTTAGGTTACAGCTTTGTGTTCTGCTGGAGGTGAAAGTAACCTCATTTTGTTGGACCGGACCATCCATAAACCCATCTCCGCTGGTACTGTTGGCTGGGCCGGCTCCACTTTTGGACCTTTGCAAAAGAGCCGTGTTGGGGAGCATGAGTTTGAAGCCCTAATGCGAACTTTGGATAATCTGGTAGGAAACAGCTAATATACTAACTACTTATGCAAACAAAACACATTGGTTGGAGTGCTTTTGCTTATAAATGAAGCCCTACCCAACATACACACTACTACACTGCTCTATAATGTCATAGTAATGCAGCTTTAAGTGCTATGGTGAAAATGGCAATCAATTTCCTGTTACTCTTTCACAATAAAAACACGAAAGCTTTTCTGTGGTTTGCAGATTGCAAGGTATTTATTGAAAAGCAACAGCATTATGAATGAGCAAATTGGCAAAAGTACAAGCTTTGAAGGGGCTGTGTGGTGAAACAAGAGTGCAAACAGCTGTTATCTGAAATTATCTTACTGACACAAACGCATTAAAAGGGACAAAGGACCAAAGGTTGTTTGTGTTTTTGGATTTAAAAAAACATAATACAGAAGATTGGCAATTAAAAATGATTATAGGCTTGAGAGTGGAGTAGAGAAAAAAAATTACATATCTGTTATTTGTCCCACAGTGGGTTAATTCACAATGTGAGTCTTTGCAACCCACATAGGCTTCCACAGGAGGCGCCATTTAGTATGTGGTTCCTTTGGGGCTTGAACCCTGACCTTCTGAGTCTAAGGCAGAGAGTGCTAACTACTAGTATGAACTATGGAACCACTGATTTATGGTTTTGTGTTATTTATTAGCATTGTTTGTCAAATATGTTTTAACAATGTTCCCATTAGTGGCACTTTGGCCATGAGGCAACGTCTCTGTCATTGGTGTGGAACCTCAGGGTTCACCTCCTGGGCAAGTTCGAATCCCAGATAAGGCAGTTGGTACCTTCCAGTGGACTCACCACCTGCAGGAAGGTTTAGGGGGGGTTGGTACGGTGCAGTGTGATTTGGGTAGCGGTCATGGAGACTGCTGCCCCCATGGTCCGGTAACGAATAAGCAGATGAAAATGGATGGATGGATGGATGGATGGACGATCTCATATATAACTAACATTGTTTACCTGCAACATTAACATGAACTGAGATTCTGTTTGGAAAATCCAAACAAAATACTTTGGCAAACAAATGCCTTTACAGAAATCTCTTTGAGTCAGACTCTCTGGAGTTTACTGTATACAGTATATATCAGTAACTGTTTCCATCTTGTTTCTTCAGGGCTACCGTACTGGCTATGCCTACCGGTTCCCTTTGCTACTGGAGCGGACGCGGATGCGGCGAGAGGTGGAGGTGCCTGCAACCGTCACAGTTTTCCACCAGTTCGATGACGACGGAGTGCATCCAGCGCTCAGACAGCACCCTTTTGCCCAGCGTCAGCAGCAGGAGAGAACCCGATGGCTCAACACCCCCAACAGCTACCAAAAAGTCAACCAGGAGCAGGCTAGTCCTGGAAACCAGCGCAGCACTGTGAGACCTTTTTTTCTACACAATAGAACATATATATATATATATATATATATATAT